AGGAACTGGTTTGTAGCTGCTTCCCTAGATTTAGAATATGTCTTAGTAACATCATACATGTAACAATAACATATAACAATATAACATCATACATATAACATATAACAATAACATCATACATGTAACTTTATGTACAATATGGTCAGACATATTTTACCAGGACAATAATGATCAGCAAATCATGAGTTTTCAAATGATACCTTACAAAGCATAGTTTGTACGGCATTTATCATTGTCTTGAAAAAGGAGTGGACATAGGGATACAGACTGTCACATAAGGCATGGTCAAATAAGGTTTAATAAAGACCCCTCATGAAACTTCATCTATTTTTAGAATCCAATTTAAAACCAAACTTTTTCAGAGAGTGTATATTACGTGTTTTTCCCACTTCCAGTTTCTGCCCCAAACCAGAGGTACCAAAATACCACAAATAAAAAACTCTTCTCATGGTGTGGTAGTTTTGTCTGGACCAGAAGAAAAGTCCCAGACTTCTTGTGAGAAAGCTTTGCTCTTCAGGGCTCAGAATTTTCATCCCAATTCTGATGATTCAAGATGCTTAGGTGGTTTGAATCAACTCTGGATAAGCATCCAAGATTTTGGGCGTTCATCTGAATCTAGCTCAGACTCTGAAGCATTTGAAGTTTGTCCTGTCCATAGTTACTATAAGAGATAAGTATTATTACTACTTACACAACAGTTTGTATATGAACAAATGGCTTTGTGATACCTTATAGCTAGGGCCCTACCAAATTCACTGACCATTTTGGTCAATTTCATGGTCATAGGATTTTAAAAATCATCAATTTCACGATTTCAGATATTTAAATCTGAAATTTCACGATGTTGTAATTGCAGGGGCCCTGACCCAAACGGGAGCTGTGGGGGAGGTTATTGTGTGTGGGGGGGGCGGGGGGGGACGGGGGGGGGACGACAGTGCGGTACTACTACCCTTACTTCTGCCCTGCTGCTGGCAGCGGTGCTGCCATCAGAGCTGGGTGGCTGGAGAGTGGCAGCTGCTGACCAAGGGCCCAGTTCTGAAGGCAGAGATGCTGCCAGCAGCAGTGCAGGAGTAAGGATGGCATGGTACTGCCTTGCCACCCTTACTTCTGCGCTGCTGCCTGCAGAGCTGGGCCCTTGGTCAGCAGCCACCACGCTCCGGCCACCCAGCTCTGAAGGCTATGAAGAAATAAGGGTGGCAATACTGTGACATCTGTAAAATAACCGTGTGACCCCCCCTGCAACTCCCTTTTGGGTCAGGATCCTCAATTTGAGAGACTCTGGCCTCCACCGTGAAATCTGTATAGTATAGCCTAAAAGCACACAAAAGAGCAGAGTTCACCGGGGGAGACCAGATTTCATGGTCCATGACACATTTTATATGGCTGTGGATTTGGTAGGGCCCTACTTATAGCACCTCTTGCAGATGTTTTACTCTAGTGGTATACCCAGTGATTAAACAAGAGGGAACGGGTATGCTACTGGAGTGCAGAACTGGGCTCTGTGCAGCGTAAGTACTGTATATACAGTAAATTAAGATCTGAAAATGTACCCTTTAAATTAAAGTAAAGTAAAATCTATGCACATGCACTATGGCTAGGAAAAACCTGGCCAGAGAGAATCACCAATACAATCATTTAACGATACCTATAACTCCAATACCTGTTAATAAAAGGTCCAGCGGAAACCAACAAGCTTTCAGTTGTCATTAAAAAAAATATAGCTAAAAAAATTAAAAATTGAACCCCACATTACAAGGTTTTTCGCATGCCTACACCCACACATCTGTTCTTTTCTTTAACACTAACACACATACCCATTTGGAGATTTTATATTTTGTTCACATATTCTGACTTTTAGCTATCTTGCCTTGTATATTCATTTCTCTGCTTTCTACTTTTAGGGTACAGGTCTGGATTTGAGAATAAACATGTTTATACATTTTTACATCAGTGCATTATTTTCAGTTCCTGGTATCAGTTTTTGTGTAGTTCTTGATGGGTACATAACTGGAATACTAAAAACCACTAGCAAATATTTCTAGTGGAACTGGATAAATGATTTAATATTAATAACATTCATTACAAATTTAGCCTTTTTCTTGTTTGTGAACAGATCAATTTAAAAAATATCTACTAGCTATTCACAATCATTTGATAAAGTGTTTATGTGAGTAAATTTCAAGCTACGGGCATTTGTTCACTTTGATTACTCACTATCCATGGTGTTTGACTTAACGTAAGTCATGAGTTTTTGTGTCTGGTTCCTAATTGGACAACAGTAACTTTTAAATCAGAAGAGTAAATATTTTTCCTTCATATGTTAGTCCTCTTGTTCATGTGAAAATATACATATCTGCGTAAAAAAACTGCTATTCCCCAAACACTTATATGAACTAAAACTCATTAATGTTGTTCCCTTTTCAATAAATAAAGCATGCACTTTTAGTCTTATATTATGGAAAGCAACACAGAAAACAAGCATGAATGTAAAATCAGCATGAAAGAGAATGCAGAGTGTTCTATCTCTGGATGATTCCCTCACCTTGAATCCCTGCCCCCTAACAGAGTCAGCTAGACTTTGTGTTCTTCTCTGCATTAAAAGCAACAAGAGCTTGTATTAAACAATTATATATTTTTTATTTAAGCTAGAGCCTACTGCAAGCTCCAGCCTGCTAGAGTCTGCTCTACCCCCTGCAAAGGAGCCTGGGCTTCTGAGACTGAGCTATAATTCAAGACACAATGTCTATTCAGCTATTTTTAACTCCATAGCATGAGCCCTGCAACCCTGAGTCTGTCTATCTGGGCTCTGAGATTCCCTCAGTGACTAGACACACAGCAAAGTTAGTGACAGAGCCCAGAACTCAGACCCGTTAGTCGCTGGATCACTCAACCACTCCCTTTATATTTGTACAACTGTAAGTCAAACAATTGCAACTGTAATTAATCTAATGTCTTTCTTCTACAAAGAGGTTTGCCTTTGCCCAAGTAAACCAAGTCTGTTAGTGACAAACGTGAGAGGTCCAGGAGGGGTTATAACTGTAAGCATGCAGACTGTAGAGCATGTGAAATAGAGCTGATAACATCTGCATTTTACAAATTGTTTCTCAGTTTTGGTAAGTGAGTTATTTCTAAATAGCTGTTCCAAAATATTTTCTGCTCACTATTCTGTACTACTGGGTATTCTGAGGTCATTTAATTTAAAAACCAACTTCGTTGGAATTCACCCAAAAGTAAATTTGTTCCCACTTCTCGTGAGGAACTTAATAAAACCAAAAACAGGATTTGCAGACAAGCCGCAGTACTGTCCAAAGGATTGATACCTCTCTTCAACCAAGTCATGCAAATAACTGCAAAGCAAACTTCTTACAATACATTTCCAGTTCTTACCAACCTTCTCAACAACTCTTTGAAACAGAGAGGTTTATAAACCAGAGATCTACGGGTTAAAGGGTATTAGTGGAATTAGATGCCATTACTTTTAGGTCTTTTTTAGCCTCAAACAGTAAAGCATCAGTCATGGCAGAGTGTTTACAAAGCCAGAGTAATTTATAATTCGCCCAGTTCCCAGAGCAAAGGTGCAGTATGTGTGCTGTTGGTGGAAAGGGGTGAGGCCCGCCAGCTGCATGGCTGATGTGGAGAGGGCGGGCTTATACCCACCTCCTTTGCATAGCTCTGTCTTTTGGGTGATTTGCACCCCGAGAGCACAAGGAGGAAGAATTGTACTGGGGACTCAGGTGAGGCAGGGGGGAAAGAGAGGAAGGCTTTTGCACGTTCATCCTCCCTTGTGTACGTATCAGGTATAGATACAGTATGGCCCTTAGACTTGTGAGCTGACAGATCAATGACTAAATTGTTGTTCCATGAGAAAATAGAACTTGGGATGTTCTCGCCAGTACTCGAATACTGTGCCCTAAACAGGATGCAGAAGAGCATTTACTGCTGACACATAGTGACAGTTACATGCTACAAACCACAGGTCTGACTCTGCAGCACCTGCACAGGCAAAACTCCACTGACTTCCCAAAGGGACTGCAGGATTGGGCCCTCTGACACTTTAAACGTCAGTGATCTTGGGTGAACTCCTGGCCCCACTGAAGTGATGGGAGTTTTGCCATTTACTTCACTGGTGTCCGGATTCTACCTGTTAGCCTGACACATTTCAGGATGGTTACAGATTCTCATTTCTAGTGCTGGGTTGCCACCATAAATTTAAAACTGTTTTAATTTCTCTGTCTATTAAGGTTGATGGGCCAGCTCCTGCTCCCACTGAGGCCGCTGGGAACTTTGCCATTGACTTCAGTGGGCGCAGGAGTAGGCCCTGTACATAACAATCACATGGAACAAGAAATAAACACTGCACAAACAGCAGGGACAAATACAAGGCACTAGCTGGATACATTCTGTGACTAGGTGCCCCCGCCCCCAAAAATAAATACCTTGGGCCAAATGTTAACTTCACTTTGGAGAGTGAGGTGAGGCCCTGGGAACTCTGTAAACATCAGCTCAGAGTTAGGCCTGTAGAGGAGGCCAGGAGGTGCAAATCCCAGCCTCAGGGACCTACAGGGGAAGGAACCCTCCTGGCCCACAGAAGAGCTTTCTCCCTGGGTGATAGCTCTGCCTGGTCTTCCGTGGCAGCCTGGCTCTTGGAAGAGTGACATTGGGAGGCTTCACAGGAACAGTCCTGGAGAGAGAGCTCATGAGAGCTAATGGAATAGTGTAGAAGTTAGTGGGAATGGACCACAATGAGAGTTGTGAGCACTCCTCAGGCGATAAGCACTTTGTACAGGTTACGACAACGTGCGTGAGACTGACATGTCCTGATTTCAAGCACGTATATAGTCTGAGGTGTGTGTACCAATCCTAATGTGTGCTCAGTGAAATTTGTTACAGCAACATTGGATGCGGTCACAGTCTAACCTTATGTTAACCAGTCAGTGGCGTCATTACTGAAGTTGTTTGCTTAGATGTAAACAAGCTTTCTGCAGTGCGTGTAGAGTCATATTTTACTTCCTCTTCTAACTGCACAAGTCTACAGTTATCAGCAGGATTGCTGTGCAATAAGGTAAGGCTGTTTTTCAAGCTGTCCCTTCACGTATTAAAACAAAAACTAATGAACCTGCACTGTTGGAATATGCTACATTAAAATAGTGCTTTTCTTGTGCTTTTCATTGTGGAGATCCCCTTGTCAAAGCAGGAAAATTACAATGAGATAAGCTTGCTGTAGCACACTTTGTTTTACTAACTTTATATTGTAAAAAAATATTTGCAATGAGCGTTTTCTCAAAATAGCTTTTCCATAAAGATAAAGATACAGACAGAGATTTCAGAAGCACAGGCCAAAGCACTATGGTGATTTGATCTGTTTGCCCGCCACATTTTTTGCAAGCATGGAAGAGCTAAAGTAGTAGCGGTAATAAACCACGGGTGTCAGAGAGAGTGAAATTTTATGCTTTTGCAATTAATAGTACCTTAATTACTATCAAATCTTGTTACAAGAGGTTAGTTTGTTCTGTGGTGTAATTTCTGAGTCAAAATCAGTACAAATCTTTTATTTTTAAATTGTATTTGATGGTAACGGAGATTCCTCTATTTCATCTAGCAAAGGATTTTCATTAGACTAAAAAGATTTCTTGTTCTAGCTGTTGTTTATATGATGCTTTGTAATTAAATTGTGAGCGCAGAATGATAGTGTTCCTTTGAGCTGGAGATGGAAAACACAATGTGACAAAAGTCTAAAGGGTGGGGCTCAATGTTCTCAGAGACTATGAGGCAGTTGCCACTGATATGGAAACTGCAGCATGGATTAGGATTGCAATTATTAAACTAGATTAGACATAGCTTGATCTCTGATGGATGCATTTAAATCACACTTTCTAAAGCTGGTTTACTTAAGACTCCTTAATACTGTGGCAATCACTCCAACAGGTGGCTAGAGATGAGAGGGAATTTAATAGTGCAATCCTCTGTCTGGTGGCTGGTGACTAACAGTTTGTGCATCCTGAAGGTAACTACAGACAAAACTCAGCAGCATAGCTGGGTTCCAAAGCTAAGTAAATGTAAAGGGAATTCCTCTTTTGGTGAGTCAGTTAGCATTCAAAGCCAGTCTTGCCACAGACTCAAGCGGGAGAGACCTTTAGCTTTAGTATGAGATTTTAGCATATGAAATAAGGATGTTGGGTTTTTCTTTTAAAGAGCCATAAAGCAGTGGTTCTCAACCTGCGGCCCAGGCAGCACAAAGCTGCAGCCCATGTGAAATCCTCCAGGCCATACTGGTAGTATTGGATATGGCCCATATAACACATTGTGGGTCATGTATGCAGCCCACAATAGTAAATAGGTTGAGAACCACTGGCATAAAGTCTATTGTTGAAATATGGCTCAATGGATGGTGCTCAGAACTTTACTCCTGTCAGAGCAAATGGGCCAAATTCATCCTGGGCATTACTCCACTTCATACCAATGATGAATTTGTCCCAGCATGGTAGAAATGTTATGGCAAAATATCTGGGAAGGTGCGTGCACTTGTGTGGGTGCTGAGGGGACAGTGGCACAAACTTTTCCCTATCAGTATCAGTGACCGGTGGAATAATGGAGATGCATGATTGATGAGGTAATATCTTTTATTGGACCAAGTTCTGTTGATGAGCGAGACAAGCTTTTGAACCCCACAGAGCTCTTCTTCAGGTCTGGGAAAGGTACTCCTTGTGTCACAGCAAAATGCCAAGTGGATCAGATTGTTTAGCGTAAGTAGTTCACACATATTGTAAGGGACCAAACAAGATAGGAGTAGTCCGTTAACAGTGGGGGTAAAAACCGAACTGGCTCCGAGACTGATCTTGATCAGTTTATGGAGGGGATTGGTGTGATGACATTGCCTACAATGGTGCGTAGTCCGCCTGTGACCGCTAGTAGCAAATACCCTCCAACAGCTGGCGATGGAACACTAGATGGAGAGGGCTGTGATGCTCTGTAGCTCAGGAGAATGCCCTGTACCCCTATGTTCATCCTTATAATATGATTGTGTGGTATCCAATGCAAAGTTTGTCATGTCGGGTATCTTCAGAAGGCTCATGATGCACTGAGCATTGTTGTTATAGTAATGTTATAGGTTGTCATTTCATGTATGTAGTTATGAGGCTGAAAATGTGTCCTCATGGCTTAAAACAAGCCCAGGCAAAAACTCTCCAAGAGCAGAGGGGCAGTTCACTCCTCATCAGGGCATGTATGGGACAAACCCAGCCCAGCCTCACAGGAACAAAGTACACTGACCTAGACAGCAACAAAGGATCTGTTGGACTCTTGAGTGAGTCACCCCCCTTCTCTTGGTCAGTTTGGGACTACGATGAGGTAATGCTCACCTGCCTCTGAAGGCGGGGAGGGGGACAAAGCCAAGAGGGAAGAAAGGACATGATAAAGGGAGAGACATTTGCCATGCTCTCTCTCTCTTCCACCCCCATCTACAAACACCGCCACCAAATGACTGAAGCTCTGATCAAAGGGGAGAGCCTGGCTGAAGGGCAACGAGCCAGCCTGTGGTGAGAAGCACCTAAGTTTGTAAGGGCAACAAAAGTGTTAAGATCAGCTTAGAATGCGTTTTGCTTTCATTTCATTGACCAAACCTGATTTGTTGTGCTTGGCTTATAATCACATAAAATATATCTTTTGTAGTTAATACATTTCTTTGTTTATTCTACCTAAAGCAGTGCATTTGGTTTGAAGCATGTCAGAGACTCCCTTTGGGATAACAAGCCTGGTACATATAAATATATTTGTTAAATTGACGAACTCATATAAGCTTGCAGCATCCGGGGCATAACTGGACACTGCAAGAGGGAGGTTTCTAGGGGTGTGTCTGGGAGGGGATTGGTGTGATGACATTGCCTACAATGGTATGTAGTCAGTCTGTGACTGCTAGTAGGGGTGGGACCGGAGATATAGGTTAGCGTCATTCGGTTGCACAATCCAAGCAGCTTACATGCTAGAGGCATGCATCAACAGTCCAGGAGTGGGGGTTCTCACAGAAGAGCAGGGTAAGGCTGGCTCCCAGAGTCGAGGATTGGAGTGACCTAGCAGATCACTGGTCCAGATAACACCAGGGGAAGTCACAAGGGCTCTGAGTTATTATAGACAATTCTTTCCCAGGTGTCTGGCTGGTGAATCTTGCTGAAATGCTCAGGGTCCAGCTGATCACCATATTCAGGGATGGGAAGGACTTTTCCTCCAGGGTCAGATTGGCAGAGACCCTGGGCGGGGGGGTGGGGGTGTCACCTTTTACTGCAGCATGGGGCATGGGACACTTTCAGTGTAGACGATGGATTCTAAGTTGAAGTCTTTAAATCATGATTTGAGGACTTCAGTAACTCAGCCAGAGGTTATAGGTCTATTACAGGAGTGGGTGGGTGAGTTCTGTGGCCTGCAATGTGCAGGAGGCCAGACTAGATGATCATGATCATAGAATATTAGGGTTGGAAGAGACCTCAGGAGGTCATCTAGTCCAACCCCCTGCTCAAAGCAGGACCAATCCCAATTAAATCAACCCAGCCAGGGCTTTCTCAAGCTGGGCCTTAAAAATCTCTAAGAATGGAGATTCCACCACCTCCCTAGGTAACCCATTCCAGTGCTTCACCACCCTCATAGTGAAATCATTTTTCCTAATATCCAACCTAGACCTCCCCCACTGCAACTTGAGACCATTGCTCCTTGTTCTGTCATTTGCCACCACTGAGAACAACCTAGCTTTGGAACCCCCCTTCAGGTAGTTGAAGGCTGCTATCAAATCCCCCTCACTCTTCTCTTCTGCAGACTAAATAAGCCCAGTTCCCTCAGCCTTGCCTCATAAGTCATGTGCCCCAGCCCCCTAATCATTTTCTTTGCCTTCTGCTGGACTCTCTCCAATTTGTCCACATCCTTTCTGTAGTGGGGAGCACAAAACTGGATGCAATATTCCAGATGTGGCCTCACCAGTGCCGAACAGAGGGGAGTAATCACTTCCCTTGATCTGCTGGCAATGCTCCTACTAATGCAGCCCAATATGCCATTAGTCTTCTTGGAAACAAGGGCACACTGCTGACTCAATGTGGACATGAGAACAAATGGATATAAACTGGCCATCAGGAAGTTTAGACTTGAAATTAGATGAAGGTTTCTAACCATCAGAGGAGTGAAGTTCTGGAACACCCTTCCAAGGGAAGCAGGTGGGGGCAAAAGACCTATCTGACTTCAAGATTAAACTCAATAAGTTTATGGAGGAGATGGTATGATTTTGGCAATTAATTGATCTTTAACTATTCATGGTAAATAGGCCCAGTGGCCTGTGATGGGATGTTAGATGGAGTGGGATCTGAGTTACCACAGAGAATTCTTTCCTGGGTATCTGGTTGGTGAATCTTGCCCACATGCTCAGGGTTCAGCTGATCGCCATATTTGGGGTCGGGAAGGAATTTTCCTCCAGGGCAGATTGGAAGAGGCCCTGGGGGTTTTTCGCCTTCCTCTGCAGCATGGGGCAAGGGTCACTTGCTGGAGGATTCTCTGCACCTTGAAGTCTTTAAACCATGATTTGAGGACTTCAACAGCTCAGTCATAGGTGAGAGGTTTATTGCAGGAGTGAGTGGGTGAGATTCTGTGGCCTGCACTGTTCAGGAGGTCAGACTAGAAGATCATAATGGTTCCTTCTGACCTTAATATCTATGAGTCTATGAGACTCATATCCAGCTTCTTGTCCACTGTAATCCCCAGGTCCTTTTCTGCAGAACTGCCACTGAGGCAGTCAGTCCCCAGTCTGTAGCAGTGCATAGGATTCTTCCATCCTAAGTGCAGGACTCTGCACTTGTCCTTGTTGAACCTCATCAGATTTCTTTTGGCCCAATCCTCCAATTTGTCTAGGTCACTCTGGACCCTATCCCTACCCTCCAGCTTATCTACCTCTCCCCACAACTTACTGTCATCTGCAAACTTGCTGAGGGTGCAATTCATCCCATCATCCAGATCGTTAATGAAGATGTTGAACAAAACCGGCCCCAGGACTGACGCTTGGGGCCGGTTCCATTTGATATTGGCTGCCAA